CACACACACACACACACACACACACACACACACACACACACACACACACACACACACACACACACACACACACACACACACACACACACACACACACACACACACACACACACACACACACACACACACACACACACACACACACACACACACACACACACACACACACACACACACACACACACACACACACACACACACACACACACACACACACACACACACAATACGCCACACACACACACACACACACACACACACACACACACACACACACACACACACACACACACACACACACACACACACACACACACACACACACACACACACACACACACACACACACACACACACACACACATTAAATATTGATTGAAAGAAAACACACACACTACACACACACACACACACACCATTCTTTTTATATATAGTAGGATAGTGTATGTATGTGGGTGTGTGTGTGTGTGCATTTGCATGCAACTTCCGTCAGTATGTTCCAGTCGTATCTCGATAGAAAAAAGGTTTTAGAGCATGTTTGATATGTCATTAGATGCGTAATGGTCTCTGAACCACTGCACACATGCCAAATCGCCAAAAAAGTGCTATTTTCGATATTAAAATTAGGTTTTTAGTAAAAATTGGGTCACCCGCTCTGTTAGGAATCAATTAGCATGCGCCGGAAGTGAGAAAAGCCTATATAAAGAGGCCGAGGCGTATTTTTCATTTTTGGCACGGTCCGTAAGAATTAGCAAATTGGAGTACCACGCTTGGATAACGGGGCCAGGGTTGAAAAAGCGCTTCGCAACTTTTCAACCCTGGTGACTTTTAAATACCCTTAGCACAAAGCTTTTTACTGGCCTACTTTTACTAAAAATGGATTTAGAGAATACCTTCTGAAGAGCGATCGATATTTTGAGCAGTTGGCTCGAATGCTCACTCGCATCGGCACTATTCGAGTGCTCGAACTCAATATCGGGAGCTACTCGGGATCGGTAAGTTTACTGCCATTTTCGCGGCCACACCCGCAACATTTTTCGGGCCATGTTCCATTTGCTAGCAACTTCCGTAAGTATCTATCGCACCTATAGCCCGAACGGCTCTCTTTCTCTATTTCTCTTATCTCTCTTTCTTTTATCTCTCTCTCTCTCGCCTCTCTTTTCTCTTCTCTCTCACTCTCACTCTCACTCTTCTCTCTCTCTCTCTCGATCCTCTCTCTCTCTCTCTCTCTCTCTCTCTCTCTCTCTCTCCGGAACTTCCGGGGCCAATTCAAATAACTCAGTTTCTTAAAATCCTGCTTCACAAACGGGTTGAATTGAATTTCGTTGTAAAACAGCTTTGGTTGTTGTCCCATTAACTGACTTTTTTTCAGCCGATCTACTGGACACCATACTACACGAAGACTACGTGGCAATCAATGGTACGTCAACGCCGCTGGCCGGGAGACCTGATATCGGGGATGGGGGGGCAGATGCCCGCTTTGCCTCCCCCGCCCCTACAACGTTCATCCTCCTTTAATTTATCCCATTTGTAGATTGGGACTGCGTATATGGGATGGACCACAAAGGGAGTCGAGGTCAGTTTTTGAAAACAATGGTTTCGAGTCATGAACATGCCCTCTTTCTTTTTCACCCTGGTTTTTCAAATTTACAGGGTGGGCCAAAAAAAAAGTAAAGTTTGGGTCAGAATATCTCGCGAACGGAAACGAATCACACCATGAATCCCTTGAAGACCCGTTAAAAAAATTTTAACAACCACCCACCTTGTAAACCAGGCTACCGCCACTTCCGGTGCGTGCTAATTGTTTGCTAACATAGAGAGTGCCAGAAATTTTTATATAAACTGAAATTCAATTTTAAAAGAGCTGATTTTGCACAATCTGATTTCAACTTCCAGTTTAACGGGGGACGGTTATTTTAGCCGGGGGCCGTTGCCAACTTTTCTTTGTTTAGCCTAGGGATAAATTGTAGTTTATTTTAATAATGTTTTTAGTAGTTTCCAATAACCAAAACAATAAAAACGTTTATCCTACAGTCAACAAAATCTAGGATTTTAGCTCGTTTCTAAACATTTTCATACGCGTCTGACCGAAAAAAGCAAAAATCTTCAACATGTTTATTTAATTTAATTTTTTTTATGATGTATTTCTTAATTTCTCCTCCCCCGCTAACAGTCCAGAACCACTTGACATAGCGTACAATCTCTATAAAACGGTAAACTCTTTAATAGACAGCACACGAGATCATAGACAAAGAGTACCACCATGAAATCATTATGATTAATTCTACGGACAGCTAACAGAAGTGGCATGCAAATGCAAACAACGTAGGTACGACTTTTTTATAGATAGTAGGATGGATTTCTAGACTCACGCAAAAAAGTTTCGCCCCCCCCCCCATTAATGCGAAAGATCCTCTATACCGTCTAAGGCGGTTTTGCCTAAAAGTCATACCCCGCACAACAGCCTGCCTGTCTTCAAACCCCGTTTGATTCATCCCGAAATCATAAAAACTTGCCCTCCTCGGCACCGACGTCAAGGGATGCGTTTTTCTTGGAATTGTAGTAGGAGAGTAGGGCGCCTTCTTCATCCGCTACTGTCCATTTGACACTCCAAGTTCTAGATGGCGGAAGTACTGGGAGACTCGATCCGAATTGTTGGTACTTGTACCGCACTATGGTGCTCTGGCCGACGGATTTCCCAGAAATCTTGCCGTTTATCCGTTTCCGACCCGATGTCTCCAATATTATTCCCGTACGTTAAAATCCCATTGTTTCCACCAATCCTTATTTTAGTTTAATAAAGTAAGTCGACAGAACCGTGAGAAGATGTACGAGCCGTGGAATAATCGGGCCCTCATCTGGACGGTCGACACATTCGCGCAGGCGCTGCAAATTATTGGGGTACGTCAGAGCTGGCTTTTCGTCAACATCTTACTTTATCTCTATCACCTATCTCTCTCACTCCCTCTATCTCTCTCTCAGTCTGTCTGTCTGTCTGTCTGTCTGTCTGTCTGTCTGTCTGTCTGTCTCTCTCGCTCTCTATCTCTCTCCCTCGCTTTGTAAGACAAGAGCGCTATCGACATTCCGAAATTCCCAGATTCAGAATTTCGGAATGCTACGGGGCCTGGTTGGGCGGAGCCCGCCGGCCCCTATATAAGCCTGGGGCCCTGACAGCCGGTCATCCACACAACCAGGCCCGCAGCCGAGGCGGAATTTCGGCGGGGCCCAAAAATTTTGGCGACCTCCCCCCGATGAAATTGATGCACTAATGAAAAACCAGCGCCGCAGGCGAAAAATTTTGGAAAAATAGGGTTTATCGAAGTAAAAACTGCCTTAAAAACAGTAATAAACAGCGCCGCAGGCAGAAAAATTTTTATATAAAAAAATCATAAGGGGACCCCTTGGGAACTTTTCGGACCTCTGACCGATTTCGGGGGGCTCCACGGGCCTGCACACAACCAACGCCTGCCAGCCGACTGCCCTCTGGAGAGTACGGTTGACTAGCAAGCGACTTTCGAAAATGCCAAAACGAGTCTTCTCAACGGGATCCCCGCGCATCAACCCCCAATTATTGTAACTGAGAAGAAAATAAAGGCTGCTCGTATCCGTGTCGACCATCTCACACAACACGACGCAAAGAAAAGCCTTTGGGCGCCACAGAACCCTTCTACCCCGAGTGCGCCATCGTACGCCAATTTTTCGTGAATGGGATTTATTGATCATCTGATACGCTATAGAATGAGCTATGTCATTTCGGAAAACTTTAAAAGCCCCAAAATATACTCCTTTTTAGCTACACAAGGCTTTTCAGGAGATGCTCGAAGATCGAGAGGGGTTGTTAGATGGAAGGATGCGGACCGTGGCTGTTCTCACGTGTCTTAGCCTGCGGTTCCCCGAAGATAGGGTAGGAATTAGAGAGAGAGAGAGAGAGAGAGAGAGAGGAGAGAAGAGTGAGAGAGACAGAGAGAAAAGTTGATTGAGAGAGCGAGAGATAGAACGCAAATGTTTAGATTGTGTGGCCTGGCCCTAAACCCAGTCGCATGGAAAGAGATTCAGTCGCCGCCCTCCACATCAACGACTTCTTCGAGAAATATATCGCAAGCGTGGGTTACGAAAAACAAAAAAGGGGAGGGAAATAATTTTTGTAGCTTTATTGTAGCTGTACCCGCCCCCCGTTATGACGATTTTTTGGCGACAGCGAGGGGGATTTCAATACGTTAGATAAAATCCGCGCGAAAACGGTTGTAGCTTTTGAACTAGATGGATTCCGCCACTTCTGTAAACGTATTCAGAAGCAACAAATTATTCTGCACAAGACCTCACACGTCGAAATTCCACGGGTACAGTAAAAGTCGGTATAAAAAATAGCAATTGCTGTAAAACTGAACAAAAAACTATTCGACCATGGTTATTACGGTACTTGGCTTGGCTGTAAAAATATAAAATTGCTTTATTACAGGAATTTGAATCGGAGATCGACACGAAGTTCTTCCGCTTCCAGCATCATCAAAGCAAAGGTCAGTCATTGCAATGCAAGTTTTCGTGTTTCCAATTTTCGAGCATCTGGCCGTTCTCGAGTTAATGTCTCTGGATGTTCTTTTTTTCTAAAAGCCATTTTCTAACAGTAACATCTAACATCTAACAGTAATTCGAACATTTAACAGTAACCACGCTCGTCTTTTTACCCGCCAAGACTGATGATTTTGTAAAATCTGATATGTGTAGAGTCATCTCAGGGCCGGTACGCATCTAATGACGGATCAAACATCCCTTAATACCTGTGCACACTTGAGAAAACCGCCCGAGATGATGAATGCAAATTGGCACTATTTTTGATGATTTTCGAAATCCCTTTGCGACGCCCGAACGCAAATGTTAATCCTACTATATATAAAAACCAGTGGAAAAAGACCGCTTCGCGGCCATTTTCCACTGGACCCCGTCCAGGAACTATGAATTTGAATACCTTCTTTTTTTTGCCTGCGGCGCTAGAACCTGAGCCAAGGAGCCATTCGTTGGCCTGCGGCGCCAGAGCCAGCGTTCCGCTAGAACCTTTGAGCCTGCGGCGCGAGAGCCTGGATAAAGGACCCATTCTTGCCTGCGGCGCGAGAGCCCGGGTCGAGGACCTTTTCTTTGGCCTGCGGCGCTAGAGCGAGGGCCAGGTCCAAACCGCTTCGCGGCCATTTCCACTGGGCCCAGTCCCGGAGCCATGAATGTGAATACTTTCTTTTTTAACCTGCGGCGCTTGAATCTGAGTCAAGGAGAGCCAGCGAGCCGCTAGAAATTGGGAGCCTGCGGCGCTAGTTACTGGTTTTCTCCAGGAACGGCCTCGCGGCGCGAGAGCCCGAGCCAAGGACCTGTTCTTATCCTGCGGCGCGAGAGCCTGGACCAAGGGCCTTTTTCTTTGGCCTGCGGCGCTAGAGCGAAGGCCGCCTAAACCACGCGCTAGAATCTTTTGCCTGCAGCGCTAGTTACTGGTCTTTCTCCCGGATTTGGCCTGCGGTGCAAGAACCGAGAGCTGAGAAATATGTTTTGTTGCCGAACAACCAAAAAGCAAAACGCGAAATTCTCGCAGGATCCGAACCCGAGACCTTTCGCCTGGTAGACCGAGCGCTATGCCACTACACCAAGGGGCACATGGGAAGAGACGGCGGGAAAGGCCTCTTCTGTCCTGGCGAGGCGCGGGGGCAAAGATAAGGGTGACCATTGTTCCCGGAGGGAGGCCGTCAGGTCACTTTACAAAATTCGATTTTTTAGTCTGAACCTGTAAAAAGTTTGTAAAGATAATAAGATGCGCGTGATCCCCATCCTTGATTCCATAAACGGTGCAAATTTCAGCCCGGAATTCCATCAGGGCTTCGAGTTAGGGCCCGGACACAACGGCCGGTCCCGCGGTTTATTAAGGACCTTTCAGAAAAATCTTTATAAAACCTTGTTTAAAAAATTTGGCAAAATCCGAAAAAATGTATCTGGGGAATTACTTTTGCCATCTACCCTCCAAAAATGAGGCCTCAATTCCTTCTAGGGGCCGAGAAAAGTTCCGGACAACATGCGCACCCAAAAATGTTAAGGATTTTTCACATTTTTGCTTGTAAAATCGTAAAATGAAAGAATTTCGAAAAATCCAAAAAACCGTTTTTTATGAATGGGATTTCCCACCTCCATGCCAAAAATCAGCTCGAAACTCGGCCTGACGGCCGAGAAAACGGCCGTACAGAAAACAGACATACTTTTCTCGCTTATAGGATAGGAAATAGTGCATGTGTGTGTGTGTGCATTTGCATGCAACTTCCGTCAGTATGTTCCAGTCGTATCTCGATAGAGAAAGGGGTTTAGAGTATGTTTTTCATTTCTAACAAAGAGGGTGACCGAAATTTTTAGAAAAACCTAATTTTAATATCGAAAATAGCACTTTTTTGGCGATTTGGCATGTGTGCAGTGGTTCCGAGACGATTACGCATCTAATGACATATCAAACATGCTCTAAAACCTTTTTTCTATCGAGATACGACTGGAACATACTGACGGAAGTTGCATGCAAAGTTACACACACACATGCACTATTTTTTATATATAGTAGGATTAGCATGCGCCGGAAGTGAGGAACGCCTATATGAAGAGACCGATCGCGTATTTTTCATTTTTTGGGCATTGAGGTTCGCGAGGATTATGCAAATTGAGAACTTTCATTGGATTGAAACTGGACAGGGTTGAAAAGTCGCGAAGCGGCTTTTCAACCGTGGTTTTACGTGCAAAATTTGAAGGCAGACAATTGGCAAAAATCAGGGCGCTTCCCCTTTTTGCAATATGCAAATTAGCCTTACTTTAGGTGCCATCCAGATTTAAGGTATTTAAGAAATCTTCGCCTTTCAATTTCGGTTGTTATGTTAAAGGGATTGGGGCGGCATCTGTTGAGTGACTTGTGAGCAGGGTTGTTCAGGGACGGACGGGACGGACGGGGACGGGGACGCGTCCCCGTCACCTAATTTGCATCCCGAAATGGGGACAGACGGGGACGGGACGGGGACGGCGGGGACGGACGGTGACGGGGCAGCGTCCCCGTCCTCGATGCAAATTACGGGGATAAAGTAATGGCATTCAACTCACGCATCGGCTGGGTTTAGAATTTCGCAGAGCAAGGTACAAAACGTGGATAGCATGATTACGATGAAGTGCTTATAACCTAGCACGTAGAGTAAGTACCCAATTGCTTTCTAACTTGAATATCTCGAATTTTTAGCTCTGTAGCAAATTCCGAAAAAAAATGGTGATTATCTGTAGCGCCGACGGCACTAGGTATAACTTCCAGCTTGGCCTGAGTTGCATGTATTTTTGACTCCTCTAAAGAAACGAGATGGAGACCCGAAATAATTACTGGTAGGAAAACCATTTGCATTTCGAAGCACGCGTCGGGGACGGGGTGACGCTGACCGTCACCCTGTCCCCGTCTGTCCGTCCGTCCCTTCCCGGACGCGTCCTCGTCCGTCCCCTAACCCGACGTAAATTAGGTGACGGTCCCGTGTCCCCGTCCGGACGCGGACGGACGGGGACCGGACGCAAAATGACCAACCCTGCTTGTGAGTGACTGACTGACTTCATATTCAGAACCTGCACAAAAGAAAAACTGATTTAATGAAATGTGTTTCATAACGAAATCCAAATTCCAGTTCGCAACCTTCCCTTCCCTTTTTTGAGGTGTAGCTGGCCTTAGGAAAAATGAACTTTAGGAAAAACGAGTTTAAAAAATGAACTTTAGGAAAAACGACGTTGGGAAAAATGACAGTAATTCATAATTTGCCAAGTGAAAAATTAACCAAGATAAATGTTCGTTGAAATGAAAATTCACCGTCCACCAGCCATATTTTTCAGACATGTTGTTCATGTTTCGCGAACATGGACGTTATCGCCCAAACGAAACTTTCGATCGCCCCGGCTATTGGGCAATGGATCATGTGACAATGTCGCTTCTCTGCCTCCCTACCCACCGACCTCCTCATAGTATTCGATGAATTGTTGGAATTTTGTTGTTTCGCGTAGCAGATACGATGTTTTTTGGTGCGAAGAATAAAGAAAAGCGAATAATAATAAATTGCTAACAACGACCAGGTAATCTTGACGCAAAGAATGATAAAGAATTGGTCTTTATCCCGCTGTTTCCAGGATTCTGGCCTCACCTACTAAACGACTAAAAATTCTGGTTGATCCCGCCGCGTTGATCCTCAATCCTCAATAATCCCTGCCACCCCACCCACCTGGTTGGCCTCATTTTTGTGCGTCTATGGCCCAAAAAGAGTGAAACGGTAAAAGATTGTTGGTTAGGGATTAGGAACGAAGGCGCGTTAGGAAACGAAGAATTAGGGTATTTTGGATACGGGAAGGCCTAGGTAATTCGCTATGCCGAATTTTCACTATACCGAATTTTCGCTATACCGAATTTTGCTATGCAGAATTTTTACCATCCCAAATTTTCGCCTGAATTTTCTCATTTTCATCTTACATACCTACAGTATCGGTGAAAAAATCCCCCCTCGGGAAATGGTTTCATGTTCGAAAATCATAGGTCCAATTTCCATGAAGCTCTGCAAAAAAAAATCGGTAAATTTTCGAGTTTCAAAAATGTGTCCATCGTGTTCGCAAGGGTCGAAACTAGCGTCAACGTGTTTTACAACATGTATCTTTCGAGGTTGGGGCCATGAGGCCGAGAACATGTCGCCGCGGGGCGATTTCCTGGCCGCCGTAAGCCTGTCCCAGTGGATTTTGGCCCGCGCGACATCAACTTGCGCCGTCAATATGATCAGGCCCAGGCAGCAAAACTGTCGTAGAAGAACAGACTAGTGGTTTTTGACCCTTGCGAACACGATGGCCGCATTTTTGAAACTCGAAAATCCCCTCATGAAACAATCTATTTTAGAGATTATTGAAATCAAAGTTTGACCATTTAAATAAAATTTTCTGTAGATTTCAATGTTGCCATCGGATTCCCGAAGCCGACTTGACCTGGGCACGAAGTTTCATAAAATTTGTGCCGATGGTTTTCGAGCACCAGACGATCTCTCGTGGGGACATCTTTTTGACCGCTGCTGTACATTACACATATACACTCATCATTTGCACAACATTCGGCATAGCGAAAATCTGCATAGTAACGTTTTCCCATTTTAACGTATGTATGATACGTCATTAGGTGCGTAATGTCCACGAGATGACTGCACGCATATCAAATTTATCAAAATACCAGATGGTTACAGTCGCTTCGCGACTGCAACCATCAGACCTTCGGGCTACCCTACATGTCCTACTCCAACACATCCTTCCCTACCTCCAGGCCTTGACAACGGGCCGGGCCGGGCCGGGCCGGCCCGAAAGCCAAAATCCAAGGCCCGGGCCGGGCCGTTGGGCCCGGTCAGACCTAGGGTCAGAGGGGGTCAAAAAATTTTTCCACTAAGACCCAAGTTTTTTGGAATCGAAGTATAACGACAACTGATAACTATCAACTATTCTTATTTTCTAACTATTAGTAAACACTACAACATTAGAAACTGTATTTTCAAAATACAAACATGCCGGATCCGACCAATGGTAAAGCTCGGATAACGATTATTGACCGTTTTGTAGATGCATTGTATAGTTTTTTTGGTGAAATATCGAACTATGGTTTTCAGAGAACCTTTCGATAAACGAAGTCCGGTTAGAAATCATGCAATAAGTGTCTTCTAGTCCATTCAGGCATAAAAAATCACAATTCCCGGCCCTACTAACCCTAGCACTGCACCTCCCGGAGCAAAAAAAAAATTGAAAAATAGGGTTTAGAGCCAAAAACCTAACAAAAAGAACCTAAAAAAGTTGGAAAAGTTTCGAAAGTGTCTTTCGCCCACTTTCGACTTTTTGAGCTTTTTTGGTCGATTTTCGGCACATTAAATGCTTTTTAACCAAGTCCTTTCGAACGGGCGGGTCAAGAGCATCGATACATCAATCGATAAAGAATTTTATTGCGCATCTGTCCATGACGCACAGCAATCTCCCGCAATTGCGGAAAGCTGTTTCATGGACGCAATATAACGTTCCGTATTATGTAACACGGAATTACCGACTTTCCGTATTTTCACGGCAACTATATTCGGAGATTTACGGTATTAAGAGAATTCATTTCAGCACGAAAAAGTGTCAGAAAAAAGTTGTATTGACTAAAGAATAATTGAGCAAAATTAATGGATGTTTGATGCTCCAGTTAGCCGAGACTATATATTACACCACGCCTATATAGTTTTTGCCTCGAGAGGGTGGGGACGCATTGAATGTGAAACATTCTTTCACATACCAGAAATAACTTTTTAGATTTCGGAAAATATTAGGGCCTTTATTTTGCTTAATAAACTGTCATAAAGTCATTAAAAAGTGACATTTCATAGCAAGGAAGAAAATAATTAAAAAAAATTCTGTCAAACAGCTGGAAAAAAATAGAGTTTCAACAATATGTGACAAGTCGCATTTTTTGGCAATCGTCAATAGCCATTTTTTGAACGTTTTATAATGTAGTTGTAGGGTATTTTACACGGGTTTAATTCAAGGGTTCAACTTCAAAATTTTTTGACTGCTATTCTTTCGGTCTATCTTAGTAATGGGCAATTAGTAAAGTACAGCCGGTACAGCCGGTACAGCCGGATAGAAAGAGTAGGCAGAAGGAGAGAGCGCAGACATTTTTCTCTGCGTCTCTCGCCCCTTTCCATACAATCTCGAAACGGCTGTACCGGCTGTACCGGCTGTACTTTACAAACAGCCTTAGTAATGCGAATGAAATGCTTCCAAAAATTCTGAGCTAAAAAATGTGCTTTAGCTTCTATACAAAAGATTGAGTTTGTAGTTAGCTTAACGAGAAAGAGTTTTCCTGAGATTTTGTGCTCATTCGTAGCTTGGTTTAGAGAGAGAGAGAGAGAGAGAGAGAGAAGAGAGAGAGAGAGAGAGACAGATTGAGATGGAGAGAGCGAGAGAGAGAGAGAGAGCGTGAGAGAGGGAGAGAGAGCGTGTGAGAGAGAGCGTGAGAGAGCGGGAGAGAGAGGGATATGAGAATGAGAGAGATAAAGCCGACATAAAATGTTTCACAAAATTTTCAAAACAAAAATTTCCTGGATTGGTTAATTTCAAATCGTTACAAAGGTCTGATATAAGCTGTAATCTCCGTGTCCATAGAAGTTTCTTCTTTTGACGAAGATAGTTTTTTCGGCGAAATCACTTTCCGAAACCTCGACCGCCATTCCTGATTATGCGAAAGAATGTTTCACATTCAATGCGTCACCGCACTATCGCCGCAAAAACTAGTTACGTTAAAAAAAACTGTTCTTATCATCGGATATCATAAAACGTTCGGATCAGGGGTTTTAAATGTTTAAACGACAAATGTTAAAAGTTGAAAGCCTTGAAAGTTAAGTAAAAAGAGTGAAACCGTAAAACAATCGAATCGCGACACTAGGTATAAATCGATGAAAGTATCAACAAAAATAGCTAAATCCGTGGTATACCAGCGAAAAAGTGGTCTTGAAAACGAAGTGAACGTCTTCATTCCTTCTTATATATATGGCACCTGATAGTTTAACAAGATTTGAATTTGAATATATAAAATTAGGAAATGAAGGAATTGAGAGCATGCCACTCGTCGATGAGATTTTGGCAAAACCCGAAAAGACGAAACACATCAATTTACGGTCGAACCAAGGTTACCGACGGTCCAGCCATCTGAAAATTGTCACCCGGAACTGATGATACTTATGATTAAAACCGCTATTTCAGAGAATAAATCACAAATTTAGAACGTAAGGAGAGAGGAAGGAGAATGTGAAAGAATCTTTCACATTCAATGCGTTTCCAGATTTTCTACGTTTTATGTTCAAGCTGAATTTTTATGAGATGACGGCTTATATCCGATATTTTCACGGATTTAGGATTAACCAATCCACGAAACTTTTGTTTTCTAAATTTTGTGAAACATTTTATGTCAGCTTCATTTTGCCAAATTGGAAATGAATCAGCCCCGAACCAGGTAGTCGCTTAGCACATTAAATTAAGGAAATACCTGATCCGATCGTTTTTTAGAGTGAGTTGTTCAGTTGGGAAACTTCTATTCCGTTTCTTAGCGCGATGTCGAAAATTCCATCTGTGAATCAATATGTTTCACCGAGCCTCCAAAACTCAATATGGGTAATTCTATTTAATCTTTCCATTTGGAACTGCTTTCTGTTGCTATTTAATGCGTTCATCTTTCTGCAAACATTCATTTCATTTCTGCGTTTTTCAACCCTGGTAGTAGGATAAAATTCTGTCAGACACAGGTGGGAAAAATGAAGTTTCAGCATTATTTGACAATGGCATCTTTTGACAAGTGTCAATCACCACTTGGAGAACGTTTTGAGCCTATTGTTGTTTATCCTGGCAAGGAAAAAGACTATTGGGATAAATTAAATAAAAAATTTAAAATGAAATTGAACTAATAAGTGGCCGTAGCCTATCTGGTGCAGAATTTTACGCTGATTTAAAAGGTACTGTGTAGAATCTGCGAAACGACCAGAATACAAAAGCTATGAGAGTTTAAAGTGCGAAAATGCCCAAAATGGCCAGCTTTCGGCCCCTATAAAAGCTAGCAGAATCAGTTTCCATGAAAACTAGCTAACGCCTCTTGCTCAGAAAATCACGCTCTTTCGAATAAGCCATCTCACGCAGTAGTTTCAAAATTCCCTCAAATTGCTCACAGCTGTATTAAAATAGACCTGGAACTCTACAGGGCGCGTCAAAAATGAAGTTTGCGCTGAAATATCTCTCGAATGGAGACGAATCAAACCATCGTTACCTTGCCAGAATGCTTACAAGTGCTCGGCATGAAGAAATAACACGTCGTTCTCTTCTTGGTTCAAAAATGTTTCACACTCTATTTAGCTGAGAGTCATAATTAGCTGCAGTATTATCCGCGTTTTCTCGAAATCTTAAAAGTTGAAGGCCTGTTGTTAAGTAAAAAGAG